AGGCAGTGAACACAAGAATGTGGTCCCTAAATACGGTCCCCCGTGTGTCACACAGCTATAATTTTCATCAGTTATACAATTTAAATATGCATGAATTGTCAGGTTTTTTTTCTGTCGAAAGAAACATTTTTCTCTGGGATACCATTAATTGAATCCATTCCACAACTTACCACTGTCTGACAGCCCAGGTCACTCAAAGAATTCCAGTCTGATCACACGCTGGTCAAACATAGTGGCCCCTTCAGGTCAGCTGATCAGCCCTTGTACCCAAACTGTGGGGTGCTTTGATTTGGAACTTTAAAAGTCACGTGAATCAACTACCTAGTGAATTCCCATATCAATCATGTGAGTGAACTGTAATAATACAGTAAGATTTTATATCCGGGTATTAGTTTCCTGTTGCTGCTGTAACAAACAGATGGCTGCAAACTTAGTGGTTTAAAGAAACACAATTTATTATTTGACTGTTCTGGAGGTCAGAAAGCCCATACGAGTTTTAAAAGGCTGAAATCAAGATGTTGGCAGGGCTGCGTTCCTTCTGGAAGCTCCAGAGAGAATCTGAATTTGTTTCTCTTTGTTTGTTTGTCTTACCTCTTTTTGGAGGCTGCCCTCATTCCTTGGCTCATGGCCTTACTCTTCTGTCTTCAAAACACATCGCTTCAACCTCTGCCTCTGTCCTCGAATCTCTTTATTCTGACCTTGCCTCCCTCTTTACTTTGATTGTTGTAAAATGTATATGGCATAAAATTTGTCACATAACCATTTTTTTTCTCCTTTTAAAGAATTTTTTAACTTGAAAATTTTTCCCTTATTGTTCTTTTTTTTTACTTTCTTTTATTGAGTTATAGTCATTTTACAATGTTGTGTCAAATTCCACTGTAGAGCACAATTTTTCAGTTATACATGAACATACATAAATTCATTGTCATATTTTTTTTTTTGCTGTGAGCTACCACAAGATCTTGTATATATTTCCCTGTGCTATACAGTATAATCTTGTTTATCTATTCTACATTTTGAAATCCCAGTCTGTCCCTTCCCACCTTTTAAAATTTTTATTTATTTATTTATTTGGAGGGGGTAGGTAATTAGGTTTTTATTTATTTATTTATTTATTTTTTAGAGAAGGTGCTGGGGATTGAACCCAGGACCTTGTGCATACTAAGCACGCACTCTACCACTTGAGCTATGACCATTTTCTTAAGTGTACAATTCAGTGGCATTAATTACATTCACAATGTAGTGCAACCATCTCCACTATCTGCAGAACCCTTCCTCACCCAGAGACTCTGCACCCATGAAGCTCTCACTCCGCATCCCTCCGCCTCCCAGCTGATGGTAACCTTGATTCTATTCGCCGTCTCTACGAATTTGCCTGTTCTACATATTTCATGTACACAGAACCGTGCAGTATTTATCCTCTTGTGTTTGGTGATTTCACTTAACGTAAAGTTTTCAATGTTCCTCTGTGTTGTAGCATATTTTAGAGCTTCATTCCTTTTGTGGCTAAATAAGATTCCATTGAATGCATACCCCACATTTTATCTATTCATTGGTTGATGGACACTTGGCTTACTTCCATTTTTTCAATATTGTGAATAATGATGCAATGAACCCTGGAGTACAAGTTTCTGTTTAAGTTCCTGTTTTCACTTCTTTTGGTTGTTTATCTAAGAGTAGAATTATGGGATTATATGAAAATTCCGTGTTTAGATTTTTGAGGAACTCCCAAACTCTGTTCCATAGGAGCGGCACCATTTTACATGCCTACCAGCAACGTGGGTGGGTTCCAGTTTCTCCACATCCTCACCAACCTTTGTTACTGTCTGCCTTTATGATTATCATTAGCCTCGTGAGTGTGAGCTGGTTTCTTGTGGTTTTGACTTCTTCAATGACTAATGAGGTAGAAGCATCGTTTCATGTGCTTCTTGGCCATTTGTATATCTTCTTTGGAGAAATGTCTATTTAAGTCCTTTGCCCATTTTCAGTTGGGTTGTTTGTCTTTTTATTGCTGAGTTGTAGGAGTTCTTTATATATTCTGGATATTAATCTACTATCAGACATTTGATATGCAAATATCAAGAAAGACAACCCATTCTCTTGATAGCATCCTTTGATGCACAAAAGCTCTGCCTCCCTCTTATAAGGATTCTTGTGATTATACCCAGTAATCTAGGATCAGCTCCCTAGTGCAAGATCCTTAATACAATCACATCTGCGAAGTCTGTCCCTTTTGCCGGGTATTGTATTCACAGCTTCTGGGGTTAGGAGGCGGACATCTTTGGGGGCGCCAGTATTCCATCTACCACAATCCATTTCAAAATGGCTACAAGGTCAGAATCTGTGAACGTATTTATGCAAAAAAGATGTAAACAAGCAACTTTGAAATACAACAACCTGCCTTGATGCAGCTGTCATTTAGGACTTCTGCCCTGAATGCCCCTTTCACTCGGTGCTGTGTTACTTAACTTCTCTGGATTACTCAACTTCTCTGTTCATTCTTAACATGAGATGAATTGTCCTTCCTCTTTTCCTCCTGCGGGTCTTTAGGGTGAGTGATGAATAATAGACCCAGTTGGGGCTTTTTTTTCTCATCTGCCTCAACCAGAAGTTCCAAATAGAAAAGCCATTTTAGGGAACAACAAGAGCTGTGCCGTGAGTGCAAAAATGCAAGCCAACAAATAAGGCCAATTTATGTTTGCATCAGGATCAGAAGGGAAAATAACAGGCCAACGAGGATTAGTGAGACCATGTCTCAGAAAACCTTTGAGCTCTTTGGAGGAAAAGGGCTTCGTAACTTCATAAATGCAAGCATCTCTACGCCTCTCCTCGCCTTTTTTCCTCACTAACAGCTGTGTTGCCTTTTTATTCCTCGTCTCTATCACAGCACCCTGTAATTATTGGAAACAATAATTGTGCTTGGGTGGAAAGGTGGCAGAGAGTGGGGATACCTTGGTAAGAACACAGGACTAGATGCTGGACCAGCATCAGGGGAGGGCCTGTCCCACAAAGTCACAGAACCTGAAAAGACAGCCCTTTTCCTATGTTCCCCAAACCTTAAAAACAAGCGTATGTATGTTAGAGTCATTTCACTACTAGGAATCTATCCTAAAGAAATGATCAGCAACGCAGGCTAAGATACGTACCAAAGATGTGTGGCAGCCTTGTTTGTAATCATGAAAAACTGGAAACAGCCTAAACGTTGCTTCCGGCAGTTGGGAAGGGTTAGGTAAATTCCAGCCTGAAACGCCATGTGGTATAAATGCCGCCGTTCACCGTGTCGATGGACAATTTTCGTGATGTTAGGAAATGAGCCTGATCAAATGTAACAGAAAAAAGCAAGACTGATTTCAATATAAGCCGTGTCCTCACAACATAATATACTGGTAGGGAGGAAAAGGGGGAAAAACAAAACAAGGAATGCACCGAACGTGACCGCGTGGTATTTCTGCGTGGTGGGACTCTGGGTGGGCGTCCAGTGACCCAGGGAGCTGGTTCTCTGGTCTCCTGTGTTGCCCTTTCCTGCAGATGAAGCTAACGCGTTGCGTGCTTTTGTGACATTTGCCTTGCTCTGAGGAAGGATCAGAGAACTGAAGTCCTAAAAAGAAAAATTAGGAGAAAACCATGGCTGACGACTGCTGAGATTTACTACCGTAGGCGTTGTTTTCGAAACCTTGTTTAAGAGCGTTGAGAATGGAAACGAAGATGACAAGACAGTCCGGTTTCTCTGCCTCCTTCGCTGTAAATGTAACTATTTCTAACACATTAAGCACAGCATTTTTTGGTTGGCCTTGTGCTGACGCTGTGCTCGGCAGGACCTCCTCGGTCGTTTCCCTGCCCTTGCGGGCTTAGCTGTATCCCCTACAAATCCATATATTGAAGCCCTAACCGCCAGTGCCTCAGGATGTGACTGTATTTGGAGATAGGGCCTTTAAAGAGCTAACTGAGACAAAACTGGGAAATATGGATGGGCCCTAACCTAATACGACTGGTGCCCTTGCAAGAGGAGATGAGGACACAGATACCTGTGGAAGGAATGTTTGTGTCCCCACAAAAGGCATATGTTGAAACCTAACCCCCAGTGGGGTGTTGTTGGGAGGTGAGGCCTTTGGGGTGATTAGGCCATGAGGGTGGGGCCCTCCTGGATGGGACTAGTGCCCTTATAGATGGGACACCAGGAGCTCCCTCGCCCCTTCCACCCCATGAGGACACAGGAAGGAGGCGGCTGTCTGTGAGCCAGGAAGGGGGCCTTCACCAGACACCAAAGCTTGTGGTGGTCTTGGACGTCCAGCCTCCAGACGTGTGAGAAAAGACATTTCTATTGCTTAACGCCCCCCAGTCTGTGGTATGTTACCGGCAGCTCCAGCAGACGAAAACACAGACATA